ACGTCTTACAATTTCTTTTTTGACATAAATTTGTAAAGGACCCGAACCTACTTCAATTAGATTACATAGTTAGAGTAAGGCGAAGCGATGTAACAATGTCTGGTGTTTTCCTAGAACACGTTTGTGTGTGGTGTGGCGAGGGCAGGGGAGTAGGGGTGATTTGGGGGGGAATGCCCCTGTTTTTCCCGTAATTTGATATTTGCAATTAGATTTGACATTTAAAAATCTGATTGATTTGCAAAAGGTTTAGTGGTCATGTGTGTGATTTGCAGCTAAAAATACAGTCTTTTGACCCCCAAAAGTAATGCATCTGTTTTTTTGGAGTGATTGTAAAATTTACCAGCTGCCCTTGTTCATAGTTAGCTAAGCCCACATACACTGAAGACGAGTTTTTCATCTCCGTTCCAACAGAAGGGCAGGTGGATAGATAAATAGGAAGAAGAATGATGGATAGAAACAACACTGACTAGCAAAAGATTCTTTTGAATTGGAATTTTGTTGAGAAAGCAAGTGTTCAATTTACACTTTAAAACTACTCCAGGTATTTAGAAGGGAAAATCTGGTTTAGCCAATGAAAAGTCTTAACAACTATTTTGACAATGTACTTTCAGGTTTTGAAGCTGTACGCTTGGGAAGACGCCTTTCAAGACAAAGTGGGCATACTCAGAAGTAATGAAATCAAGATCATTCTCAAGACGACACTGTTCATGGCATCGTTGTCTCTAATTTTCCAGACTGTTCCATACTTTGTGAGTAAAAGAGTCCCTGTTGTTTCTGTCTGTAGACATGAATGTTTATAAGTGGAGAAATAACGATATACATTTCGTTGAAAATATGGACCCACATATGGGAGGCTCTCGTGGCTTACAGGTTAAGGTGTTTGACTCTCTTACAATAGGTCCCGGATTCGAATCTGGATTGCGACGGAAATTGTTCTTTTCTAAAATTGTCTCCTTTCACCTTTTTCCTGCTCTCTAGCAATGTTATGTTGTCTGCTTTTGTCTCCACTTTCTGCCCCCACCCCCTCACCTCCTTTGCCCCCTCCTCTGGACTCCTGACTTTTTCTGCAGCCTTTCTATTGCTACTCCTTGGCTTCTTCTTACTGCTGTCTTCAAGCTTTTGTCGTCTGCTTTTGTCTCCACCTTTGTCTCCACTTTTTGCCCCCACCCCTCACCTCCTTTCCCCCCTCCTCTGCACTCCTGACTCTTTCTACCGCCTTTCTATTGCTACTCCTTGGCTCCTTCTTACTGCTGTCTTTCAGCCACACCCCTGATCTTATGGTAAGAAAGATCTACACCTAGCCTTCTCGGACAAGGGCAAAAAATCTCGGAGGTTGCGTGTGTAAGTTGGGCACGTTAAAGATCCCTTGGTGGCCCAAAATTAATAAGACTAGGCTTCGGCCACCACCCGGGAAAAATAGAAAAATTTCTTACCAACTGAAAATGTCCAGCACGCTCATATGACCTTATGCAGTTACGAGTGCGGTAAAACGCTTACCCCCCCCTCCAAAAAAGTATAATATATGTATATCTATCTATCTATCTATCTATCTATCTATCTATCTATCTATCTATCTATCTATCTATCTATCTATCTATCTATCTATCCATCTATTTATTTATTTATTTTTTATTATTTATCTATTTGACCTCCCGCCTCTTAAATAACCTTACAGTGTTGAATGGTGCGTTCAACATACACAATGCCTGACTAATTCTAACCCCTAATTAAATGCTAAAGTATTTTACGTCCCCATCAACACAATTTACATTAGCCAGACGGCATACTGCTTTGACCCTGCCATTCGATGCCAACCCGGGCTGAATGGGATACAGTATCATACAGTATCCCACCCAGCAGACAGATGAAGAAGATACCCGATAAATGGAAGAAATAAAAGTTCCCTGCTCGGGAATCGAACTCACATCTTCAGTATGAAACAACAAAAAGCTCGTTCGCTACACCATGATATACGCCGGTCGCGTGAGTTTAATGCCCCACCAGAACGCACTGGTCCGAAATTTGCTCAGTTACTTTCATGCTTGGGACTATGGTGCGGTTGACCCAGGTTCAATTCTCAAATGAGATGTTCATGAGTTTAGGTTGTTTGGGGAGTTTTCGAGGATCTCCATTTGCTTGGCTATGTCCTGTCTTAGATGGACGTTAGATTTGCAAGCTTTTCTTAACAAATCACCTCACAATGTTGAAAGGTACGTTATGCTAATGCCGCCCCACATCAAATTCTTAGAGGCGATTCCTAGTCGGTGGGGTTTTGAGACTCTGTTTTTCTACCTTTTGTCTACACCGTCTTATTCGTCAACAGAATAGTACAGAAGTGGGTTAGGCAGAACCTATTGTTGGTACGTGGGGAAAATTTTACATAGACTGTGACCTATAGCGGTATCCCCAAAGCAGGGGAGGGGAGTTACGTCCCAAACTGGTTGGACACCTGCAGACTATCTTATACCCCTCCCTTTTTTCCCTCAACCACCCGCTGTGGCCAAGGTCAATATAATTACAGTATTTATATTGTTTAATCATCACCGAACTGACACAAATCGATGACAAAAGATAAAATAAGAAGAGGTGGGCTGTGGCAAAGACGGCAACTCCTGTAGTTAATTTCAATTGTAAACGTGTTACATCCCCGGCGACACAAGTTAGGCGAAGAAGAAGAAGAAGAAGAAGAAGAAGAAGAAGAAGAAGAAGAAGAAGAAGAAGAAGAAGAAGAAGAAGAAGAAGAAGAAGAA